TCTTTAAAGTAATCTAATAAAAATAATTTCAACAATCAGAATTTTGGGTGACAGCCCCTTAACAGTGAGACAAAACTATATTCCAATTACCTATCATCAATCTACTGAGCCTGAGATGATTTACATCTGTATGACTTTAGAATTACCTGCATCAGTTAGTCTGGCAGATCAAACCAAATCACTAATTTTTATTATGTAACTGTAATCTCTGCCCAAAGATTTTCAAAATAAATTGGAGCCTTTAAAATAAATATGCAGCTTCTATATATGAAATTTCAGTTCTTTCTGAATGAAGAATATTCATTAAATTTAAAAAGTGAACTTTTCTCCCCAAAAAGCACTCATTAATAACAAAAACAATAATTCCTCAATAATAATTTTTTTAAATCTAATTGACCTTAACAAGCATATATTACTTTCTGTATTTCTGAAATATTATTCAGAATCCTCCCACATAAGTCTCAACTTGACTACTCCTTGATATCATCTATTGAGCTTATGGCTGCATGTCTGAGTATATTCATTATTTTAATATGAGGTATTTTTAAACTAATAAATACCTCTCTAACCATACTAGTAAGAAGGCAGCATGACCTACTGTGGAAAACTCAGTACTGGGAGACATGATATTGGAACTGAATTCTTGGCTTTGCCATGGACATATTATATGTCCTTAAATAGGTCACAATTTTCATATTCCATTTACTGCCCTGTGCACAGTTCTTCTAAAGTAAACTACTGAGCACAGCGCCCTGCATACAACAGATAAATAAACAGTAGCTGACTGATTATTAGACTATGTTTCAAAGTTGGAGTAAGAAAACCTGGCATTTGGCCTCACAAGACCTAAGTTTCTTCATCAGTAATATGAGGAGACAGAACCATAGAAGACCTACATTTTAGGGTGGTTTACCCATAACACAGATTGAGAGGAAGACTAGTGAGCAGGAAGTTCATTGTGGGTGCTCCCGAGATGATCACTTGTGAGGGCAGGGCAGAAAGAGAAATGGGGCTCTGTAGTCACAAACAAGGACTTGGCTGACCCTGGGGGGGTCACTTTGGACCAGAGATAGCATGGCAGAGTTGTTCTGAATTGGAATAGAACATTTATAATCCCTCATTAGTCAGTCATTGGGTGCAGGTTGCCCTGTTCAGCTGAGGTAAGGGCAATCTCCAGGGAGAGACTCAGCTTTGAGCATTCAGTTGCCAATACTTGGCAGCTAGGGGAATGAGTACTCAGTCCTGACGAGGGGCATCTGGCAATGAACCAGGGTCCACTACTACTACCAGGATCCCTTCCAGTACTAGATTTTTTGATGATGCTTTAGCTTTCAGAAACAATCCAACCCAAATCATCATAATAAAATCTATGACAAAATAATACATACTGTAAGATTTCATTTACATCAAGTTTAAGAACAGGTAGAACTAATCTGTATTGATAGAGGTCAGAATAGCTGTTACCTATTGGGAGGGAGCATGAGAGAAACTTCACGGGTGCTGATCATGGTATATATCTTGACCTTGAGTCCATATATGTAAAATATACACACATGTATCTATGTGTGGTTTTCCCAAAGATTTACAAGAAAAAGAGATTACATAAAATGCTGTTAATATTTTGTAAGAGAAACACGTGACATTATAATGTGTAAACTGAATATAATTTTTAAAAAGTTTACAGCCATATATTATTCTGGTAGTTTGACAATTCCTTTATTCCTCCTGTAATTTTGATAAATTATTTTAAGTATATATACTCAAGGCATTCAAATGCCTCAAAAATGAAACAAAAGACAAAATGATAAACTTGGATATCAACTGGGCTTAAGTAATCAAATAAACAAAATAGAGTACCACTGTACAGAGACTTGCAAAACTGCCGTTTAAAATCAGAACTACAGTAAAGATTTGGATAAATCATACGGCTTATTACCATGTATGTTAAAAGACTAAGTATAGTGCTGCCACCTAGGAGACAAAGCTGATAATAACCAATTTCAGTTCTGAAAGGTTATATACATCTTATAGAAAATACAGAAATGCCTTTTTGTTTGTTTATTCATTTGTGGGTTTTTTCTTCCCCCCCTTAGATTCCACCTCTGAATGAAAGGAGATAATGGCTTCCAATTATATGGACTGAATAAGTCATGGGACATAAGAGGCACAGCATAAGGAATATAATCAGTGATACTGTAATAGCAATATATCAAGACATGTTAGCTACAGTTATAGTGAACACAGCATAATGTATAAACTTGTCAATCACTATATTGTGTATCTGAAACTAGTGTGTCAACTACATTAAAATAAAAAAATTAATTTTTGAAAACCTAGAAATGCTAAATTATATATTATTCAACAATACTCTGCCAAAATATACCTTAAAGACTACCAAGTTTGGACAACAGCTAAAGAAATCGAATAATTATGTTCTCAAATAAATTACATGATTTCTGGGGTGCCTGGCTGGCTCAGTTGGTTAAGCCTTCGGGCCTTTGGCTCAGGTCATGATCCCAGGGTCCTGGGATGGAGCCCCATGTCAGGCTCTCTGCTCAGCTGGAAGCCTGCTTCTGCCTGCCACTCTGCCTGCTTGTGCTTTCTCCCTTTCTGTCAAATAAATAAATAAAATCTTAAAAAAAAAAAAATTACATGATTTCTAAAATAGCAACCAAGAGCTCACACAATAGTATGTGCTAGTACTGGGAGTTTCAGAGGTTCCCTGGTACAAATCTGAACCCATTTAAAAAGCAAACACTTTCTACAAGATCCCAGGGCTGTAGGTTCCCAGATACATAGTCTCTAGGGAGAAAGATGGGCAATGCCCAGTTAGCTGTACCCTCTACTTGCTCTTCCCTAAAATATATTTGGAGACTCAGTGAACTCTAAAATAAAGTAAGTGCTGAGACAGAAAGGGAAGCACAGAAAGCACAGAGTATGCAAGATTTTGGATAGAGGTTTTAAGCAGAATGCACTTAAGGAGAAGTCCTTTCCTCCTTTAGCAATGTCTGAACATCTGGATTCTTCTTTTTATTTATTTATCTGAGAGAGAGAAAGAGCGTGCATGCACAAGTGCGTTTGTACACACATGCACATTGGGGGGGGGGGGGCAGAGGTGAGGAGACGGAGAGAAAATCTGAAGCAGACTCCTGGCTCAGCACCAAGCCCGACAAACACTGGGTTCCATCTCACAACAGCGAGATTACAATCTGAGCCGAAACTAAGAGTCTGACGTTTAACCAGCTGAGCCACCCATGGGCCCCTGAACATCTGGATTCTAACACATAAGGGCCCCTAGTCTACCTCTGTACTAGAACATCAAACTCTCCCACTTTAAACTCCACCCCCTGCCCCACCCACAATTTTTCTTTGTTACTTAGGCATCACCTTACAGAGCTCCAAAAGAGAAAAGTGAATACTGAGCAGGGACTCTTTTCACAAAAATGGAGAAGACCTACACTATGCCAGCACTCTAAGGGCAGAAGGAAAGAGAGAAGACCACAATAAGCATGGAGATTATATGACTGCTGTTATATCTGTTACTAAACAGACGTCCAAAGAATGAATGAAAAGAAAGCAAAAATATCTCGTGTACATGGCACTTTCTGAAATGGTAGGTAAAGTTCTATCATTTCATTGTATCAGAGCATTCTCACCCAAATAGTTGGCCAGAAAAGCACAAATGCAGGGATACATAGCCAGTGGGCACATACAGTACACAGATACTATCACTATAAAACACAGCCTAATACACAGAATAATATAGTACAGCACAAAGAAACTAGTGCGATCAAACCTAAGTGTAGTGTGATCAAACATAAATAAGACACATGGAAATGAACAGATCAAGGTTCTAGACGGGCTTTGCCACAAGCTAGTTATGAAATCTAGTGCGGAGGCAGTGAAGTATAATTGGTACTATGCAAACAAGTTAGTCAGGCACTGAACTGAGGGGTTTATAAACACTGAAGGCACCTAACCAGGGTCAGGAGAACAAAGTTCTGGGATCCAATCTGCCTCTGACTAGGTAGGATTAAGAACAAGTCAACTTATATCTCTAGAGCCCAATCTATCTGTATTGACTAGAATGGTATTTCCAAAGTGGGTTCCACAGCACAGTAACAAAACAACAGTGATATGCTTATCAATAAAAGGGTTTCACAGTCAAGTACATGCAGGGAAATGTAACTACTATAAACCACCAACCTTAGAGATTCACAATGCACTTTAGTATAGTAAAATCTCTGAGAAGAGCTTATAATTAAGATAATCTGTTTAATTTTACTTAATACGTTTTTTTTCCCCAAGCCAGTGGGTCACTAAAGTATTTTTTCCTTCTATAAATATTAACATTGTAAAACACACTTTGCCATTCCTTAAAAAATCAGAATTACCATATGATCCAGCAATTCCACTTCTAAGTATATACACAAAAGAAGCAAAAGCAGGGACTTCAATAGACATTTGCACACCCACATTCACAGCAGCATTATTCATGATAGCAAAAAGGTAGAAACATCCCAAATGTCCATCAACACATAAAAGGATAAACAAAATATGACTTATACATACTAGAAGATCACTCAGTCTTAAGAAGGAATAAAATTCTGATACATGTTACCTTGAAGACATTTTGCTAAATGAAATAAGCCTGACACAAAAGGACAAATATTATATGACTCCATTAGTCAAATTCAGAGACAGAAAGTAGAATACAGATTGGAGGTGGGGAAGGATAATGGGGACTTATCGTTTAATGAGCACAAAGTTTCAGTTTGCAATGGTGAATAACTTCTGGAGATGGATGGCAGTGATGGCTACATGCACTTAAAGCCACTGAACTGTACACTTAAAAATGGTTTAAATGATAAATTTTATGTATACTCTACCACAATAAAAAAAAAATCCACACTCTTTGCCAAAAACTGGGTTCATTTTCTCTTAATGCTACCATTCTGTGATTATGAAATCACTAAAGAAGTCAATATAAATTACCTTACCTCAGCTACACAACAAATTGATCCCAAGGCTTCTCCACGAAAACCGTAAGTTGTCAAATTTTCAAGATCTTCATGACTACTTATTTTTGAAGTATAGTATTTTATTGCCATTACAGGTGCATCAATGGCCTTGATACCCTCACCATTGTCTCGCACCTCAATTTTATCAAATCCATAGTTCTCCTATAAAAAGAGAATACTTTTAGTATATAAAGACAGTAAACTGTTGTGCATTAGAAACAGAAAGAAACACAAGAGAAACAATTATGTCATTTATTTTTTATGGAATCTTAAGAAAGAGTTCAAATTCCTAACTCTATTAATTATTCCTAATTAATTAATTCCTAACTATGATACAATGGGCAAGTCCCTTGTTTTCCCTGGACTCAGATTCAACTCTTAAAAAAGGAAGTCAGTCTAATCTTTAAGGTTTCCTTCAATTGTTTCAGTATCATGGATACTTGTGTTTAAATTCATTTAAACTTGACTAAGAAAATTCTACTAAATTATATATACTTTTGCATATATAATCTCTCAAAAAAACCAAAACAGAATACTATCACCATCAGCACCTGGTTCTACCCACTAAGAGTCTAGCAATTAACATTATTCATCCTGATTTTTAATACTTTCTTCCTTTAACAACGTATTGCTTTCCTAAGAACTTTAAATATTTACTACATTATGACTTTCTAAAGTTCTTGCAAATAGAGAACAGAAAAATGCTAATATACTAATTTGGCAATCTCTGTGAGGTCTTTATTTGAAAAATGAGGGCAAAAAAAACCCCAAACTCAATTCACAGCTTAGTATTTGTAGTTTAATTCTAGTATGCTTATATAAAAAAACAAAATCTAAATTCCCATCGAGATCGTCCTACAATTACAATGACTCTAGTATTTAAAAATAATATATTTATAATAACCTAAATTCATATAATTCTGTATGTGTCAGTACTTTTTAGGTCAGTTAGATATGCAAGGTATTGAAGGGAAACCTTACTTAAGATTTAGTTCCTCATCTCTCAGTCAAAAATTAACATCCTGGAAACAGTTTGGCTACTTCATTTTATAGAAAAATCATCAACTACAGAAACACAAATCTTGCAATACAAAAAAGAACACGAGGCATCTGAGTAATATAACACAAAGATCTGTTTAAATTTTTAAATTATATCAATTTTAATTAACTAATTATGAAAACATTCCTAGTCAGGACAGTTATTATTATATGTAATCATAATAAAACAGGTCTTACTATATAAGCAAAATAATTGTTTATTTTAAAACTCTGCAAAGCAGAAACTGGTAAATATCAAGACACTAAAATACAAAGCCAGATAAAAATGTATACTTTACTTTTATAAGAGGGCTTCCATTGGCTTTCTAACAATATTTTTGTGTTTTTTTAATATTTTATTTATTTATTTGACAGAGAGCGAGCGAGCACAGCCAGGTGGAATAGCAGGCAGAGGGAGAGGGAGAAGCAGGCTCCCCACCGAGAAAGGAGTCCGATGCGGGGCTTGATCCCAGGACCCTTGGATCATGACCTGAGCCGAAGGCAGTCACTTAACCAACTAAGCCACCCAGGCACCCCTCTAACAATATTTTTAAAAACATGTTTTTCTTCCAGAGAGCTTTAAGAACAAGATATATGTCTGCCTACCTAAGTAAGATTCATAAGTGAAATCTACCAAATTATCTAATCCTATTTATTATCTATTGTATTCTAATCAGACTGTACTATATGAAATGCCTAAAAAAAATAAGTTGCTTTCTTTGGGTTTAATAAATTTCCATGTTTATAGAGCTTACAATACAGTTGACCCTTGAACATAGGGGATTTGGGGTGTTGACTCCCACATCACCAAAAATCCATGTATAACTTTGAATCCTCAAAAATTTAATAGCTTACTATTTTTCAAAAATTTTAATTCTGGTGTAGTTAACATAGTGTTATATTAGTTTCAGGTGTATAATATAGTGATTCAAAAGTTCCATATATTACTCAATGCTCAATGAGGTAAGTGTACTCTTAATCCCATTCACCTATTTCACCATCCCCACAGCCACCTCCCCTCTAGTACTCATCTGTCTGTTTACTGTAGTTGACAGTCCATTTCTTGGTTTGTCTTTTTTTTTTCCCCTTTGCTCCTTTGTCTCCGAAATTCCACATATGAATAAAATCATATGGAATTTTCTTTCCCTTATTTCGCTTAGCATTATACTCTCTAGCTCCACCCACATTGTTGCAAATGGCAAGATTTCATTCCTTTTTTATGGTTGAATAATATTCCATTGTATTTATACACCACTTCTTTATCCATTCATCCATAAATGCACAGTTGGGCTGCTTCCATAATTTGGCTATTATAAATAATGCTGCTATAAACATAAGGGTGAATGTATCCCTTTGAATTAGTGTTTTCGTATTCTTTGGGTAAATACCCAGTAGTACAGCAAGTGAATCATAGGGTAGTTCTATTTTTAACTTTTTGATAACCTTCATACTGTTTTCCATGGTGGCTGTACCAGTTTGCATTCCCACCAACACTGTAAGAGGGTTCCTTTTTTCCACATCCTTGCCAATATCTTTTGCCTCTTGTTTTTTAGATTTTGGCCATTCTGACAGGTGTGAGGTGCTATCTCATTGCAGTCTGATTCTCATTTTTCTGATGATGAGTGATGTGAACAGCTTTTTAGGTCTCTGTTAGCCATCTGGATGTCTTCTTTGAAAAAATGTCTGTTCATGCCTTCTGCCCATTTTTTAACTGGATTATTTGGGTCTTGCGGTATTGAGTTGTATCAGTTCTTTATGTATTTTGACTACTAACCGTTTACCGGAAATGTCATTTGCAAAGATCTTCTCCCATTCTGTAGGTTGTCTTTTATTGTTTCCTTTGCTTTTTTTTTAATTGTGATGTAATCCAAATACTTTATTCTTACTTTTATTTCCCTTGTATCAAGAGATATATCTAGAAAAATGTTGTTATGGCCAAAGTCAAATTACTCCTGTGTGCTCTTCTAGGATTTTATGGTTTTAGGTCTCACATTTAGGTCCTTAATCTATACTGAGTTTATTTTTGTGTATGGTGTAAGAAAGTGGTCTAGTTTCATTCTTTTCCATGTTGCTGTCCAGTTTTCCCAACACCCATTGTTGAAGAGACTGTCTTTTTCCCATTGCATGTTCTTGACTCCTTTGTGGAAGATTAACTGACCATGTAACTGTGGATTTACTGCTGGGTTTTCTATTCTGTTCCACTGATCCATATGTCTATTTTTGTGCCAGTATCATACTGGTGGTTTTTTTTTTAAATTTTTATTTTTTTTAATTACTAACATATAATGTATTATTTGTTTCAGGGGTACAGGTCTGTGATTCATCAGTCTTACACAATACACAGCACTCACCACAACACATATCCTCCCCAATACTGTTTTGATTACTACAGCTTTGTAATATAACTTGAAGTCTGGAATTGTGATACCTCTAGTTTTTTCAAGATTGCTTTGGCTATTTGGGGTCTTTAGTGGTTCCATACAAATGTTAGGATTCTTTGTTGTAGTTCTGTGAAAAATGCTGTTGGTATTTTGATAGGGATTGCATTAAATGTGTAGATTGCTTTGGGTACAATTTTAACAATATTTGTTCTCCCAACCCATGAGCATGGAACGTCTTTCCATTTCTTTGTATTGTCTTCAATTTCTCTCATCAATGTTGTTAAGTTTTCTTGTACAGGCCTTTCACCTCTTTGGTTAAGTTTATTCCTAGGTACTTTATTATTTTTGGTGCAGTTGTAAAAGGGATTGTTTTCTTAATTTCTTTCTGTTGCTTCACTATTAGTATACAGAAATGCAACAGATTTCTGTATGTTGTGTATTATGTGACTTGACCAAATTCATTTACTAGCCCTAGTAGTTTTTTGGTGAAGTCTTTAGGGTTTTCTATATACATTATCATGTTATCTGCAATCCAAAGCAATTTGGATGCCTTTTATTCTTTTTTGTTGTCTGACTGCTATGGCTAGGACTTCCTGGAAATAGGCTGAATAAAAGTGGTGGGAGTAGACACCCTTGTCTTTTTCCTAACCTTAAGGGAAAAGCTGTTTTTCACCACTGAGTATGATGGCAGCTGTAGGTTTTTCATATATGACCTTTATTATGTTGAGATATGCTCCCTCTAAACCTACGTTGTTGAGGGTTCTTATTATGAATGGATGTTGTTCTTTGTTCAATGCTTTTCTGCATCTATTAAAATGATTTTTGTCCTTTCTCTTATTGATGTATCACATTGATTGATTTGCAAGTATTGAAAAACCCTTGCAACCCAGGAATAAATCCCACTCGATTGTGGTGAATGATTTTCTTAATGTATTATTGTATTTAGTTTACTAAGATTCTGTTGAGGATTTTTGTATCTATGTTCATCAGAGATGGTGGTCTGTAGTTCTCTTTAATTGTGATCTCTTTATCTGGTTTTGGTATCAGGGTAATGGTGGCCTCATAGAATGAATTTGGAAGTTTTCCTTCCTCTTCTATTTTGTCAAATAGTTTGAGAAGAATAAGTCCAACTCTTCTTCAAATGTTTGATAGAATTCTGCTGTGAAGCCAGCTCATTCTTAATTTTTGTTTGTTGGGAGTTTTTTTATTACTGTTTCAATTTCATTGCTGGTCATCAGTCTATTCAAATTTTCTCTATTTTCCTGTTTCACTTTCTGGTAGTTTATATTTTTCTAGGAATGTATCCATTTCTTTTAGGTTGTCCAATCTGTTGGCATGTAATTTTTCATAATATTCTCTGACAATCCTTTGTTTTTCTGTGGTGTTAGTTCTCCTCTTTCATTTATGATTTTATTTGACTTTTTTTTTTTGACGAGTCTGACTAGAGGTTTAACAATTTTGTTGATCTTTTCTAAAAACCACCTCCTACTTTCATTGTTCCATTACTTTTTTAGTTTCTGTATCATTTATCTCTGCTCTAGTCTTTATTATTTCCTTCTTTCTGCTGGTTTTGGGTTTGTGTGTTCCTTTTCTAGGTCCTTTAGTGTAAGGTTAGTTTACTTGAGATTTTTCTTGCTTCTTGAGGTAGGCCTGTATTGCTATAAACTTCCCTCTTAGACTGATTTTTGCTTCATCCCAAAGATTTTGAAGCATTACATTTTCTTTTGTCTCTATATACTTTTT